AGAAATGACAGAAAGGAAAATAATCTTATGCATTCAAGATTTTTTAATTAGATAACGCGCCAAATATGGCAAAGATAGGAAATAGTTTTCCTTTTATTCTCGCAGAAAGTTAATACTTTCTGCATAGATGCCTTATAAAAGAGAAGTTGCTTATGTGGTGTTGATAAAATGCAAATTATACCTTTGTTAGGCGTCTGCAACCGGGATATATATGTACGTGAAACTGTATATGAAATGCGAAAAATAATCTCCAATCAAAGTCCTATAAAATGAAATAACTTTATTGAGTATAAAAATAATCTTTGTTTTCTTTTAAACTGAAAGAAACGAGCTATAAATTTATTTGCAATGTTCATACGAAATATCTTTTGAATTTCTTTTTACAATACTAAAGAAATGAACTGTGTTAGTATATGATGAAAGATAGGTGTGAAATTATAAGGATAAATCCACAATTTACGTTAAATTATGTGTGTGTGGTGTAATTATAGCAGCTGCGGCTGGTCAGCCGATTAATATCAAATATTTACGGTTTTTACAATTACGCTTTGTTTATGTATCGTGTGGGTATTTTCGTAATATAAACTGTGAAAACTGGTTTATGTAGATACTTCAAAAGCGAGAAATTGTTTACAAAAAAAACTTGGTACTCAATAATTTTTTGAGTAGACGAAAATTCGAGAATTCAGTATTGTTTACAATGCGCAGTCGAAGTTATACTGAAGACTTTTTTTAAATGTAAGTTAGGCTGTTTATAAGAAAAAAAAATAGGATCATCGGAAGTTAAAAATTAGATTTATTAAACTAAGAAGTCTTATTGGTTAATAAATATATTTCCCAATTTTTAATATCGATTTTTTCGAGAAAAGAGATTGTTAATCATTTTCTGAACTTGAGTTTTCATTTGTTTGGGCACAGCATACAGAAATAGTTGTCTGTTTTTTTCAAAGCTCGAACAGCGTTTGAGACAACCTCGCTGATTGGTTAATATATGGTAATGTAGGAATTTGAATTTAACGTTTGAATGATCCTATTTTTTCACAGGAACGAGATATTAGTGACAGTAATTAGATCTATGGAATTTTCTAAAATTTTTAACTGGGTTTCACACACACTCACACGCACACACACACACACACACACGCGCGAGCGCGGATATACGGTATCTAGAACGAGGGTTGCATGTGGCACAAGGCCGAGTTTAACGTGAGTTTCCTGAGACCGTAGGCTCGGCCAAAAAATGCCCGTAGAACCCATATAAACGGGATCGGGTTGGTCAACCCCCCCGAACGAGACTCTGCCCTTCGGCGGAGCCTCGTCCGGGTTCCTCTCTGCTCAGAGGCAGAGAGTTCGACCGTCAAGCCGAGAAGCTCGGCTCGATTTCACACACATATATACGCATACATACATATATATATATATATATATATATATATATATATATATGCGTGTGTATGTATGTATGTATGTGTGTGTGTGTAATTTATGTCATTTACAAAGTAACCAACGCCTAAGTGAGTATGTTTCTTAACGGACACGAAAGATCCTTTCCATATTAGCCGAGGATTGCGTGAAATGGCATGACATATTCAGTTGTTGTCGGTGATTATTTATAGGGAATTTATTTAGAAATTAGACACACACACAGACACACACACACACACAGACACACACACACACATATATATATATATATATATATATATATATATATATATATATCAAAATTATCCAAATCGTATAACAGCATGGGATAATTGTCCATCCCACAAAATGTTTAATATCTAAAACAACATTAAGTTAATTGAATTCCTTTTTTCCAGGTTTTTAGACAAGAGTTTTAGCCATCTTGACTTTATTTGTCGTAAGATTCAATGAAAAATCCTTTGGGTTATTCAGCTAGAAGTAGAACAAGTTAAAATCATTTTGTGTCAGCCGCACCAGGCCTTCCCAACTGAGCAATGGTGAGAGGAAAAAGATCATTCAGGCCTTCAGATGGTAACCACATTCATACACTGGATTCCATCTTCAAAGTCCATTCTAGAACCATCAAAAGAGTGGTGAATATGTTTTAAAAAAGAGAGAACAATAGAGAGAATATCTGGATCAGGAGGTCACATCAGCAAGGGGAATCATCATTTCAACTTAGATATAAATTCATTCTTATTGCTAAAAGTAGAACCCAATAGTGTTACAAAAACGTCGGAGAATTCCAGTAAGATATCTTTAATCATTTCTACGATGCAACGGTTGAAAGCTTAATCTAAAAATTGGACAACTTTGCATTTACACGATTTGGACAATTTCGCTGTTACACCTGTTATATAAATTATTTAGAAAACCAACCTTCTTGCTACCGGGGTTTCTACCAGTTAGGTATCATCAGGCAATAAGATTGGATATTTCATTCCAAGACGTGTATATAATCATGCCGTTAGTAAAGAGGAGAAAGTAAGAAGTACAGAGGAGGAAGAAAGAAAATGACGTTTTATATAAAGACTCCTACCCGAGTTCATAGCTTGCTAGTCAGAAATTATATATATATATATATATATATATATATTTAAGCATTCAACCCCAAGCAAGGCGGGAAGCCACTAGCACGCAAGGGGTTACAGAGAGTTGGAGCGAGAGCAAAGAGGAGTGATAGAGGAAAGGATGAAGAGAAGTATAGGAGATAGAACAAGGCATCTGGAAACGTCGATTGACATTACATTTGAATAGTTAGAGTTTATAGCTATCAGTAAGACAAGACATGGGGAGGAAGTTCCACAGGCAAGAGGTGCGAGTTATGAAGCTATTGGAGTAGAAGAGATGGCTACATTTGACAGTTTCGACAGTGAAAGGGGGAGAGCGAGATGCCAGCCTAGTTGAACCCTTAAATTCATGAAGTCTGAGAACCAGCGAAAGCAGCTCATTGGAGCAGTTACCATGAAAGTATTTGTAAAAAAAGACAGAGGGGGGCAACGGCACGCCTGTGAGAGAGCGGCTGCAGACGAGATGCCAGATCAGGGTCAATTACATTGCATATCCCTCTTTGGATTTTAGCAAGGACCTTGAGACAAATAGAACGGGCTCCAGACCATATATGGCAGCAATACTCCATTCAAGGGCGAATGGTAGATTTCTACATTTGAAGGATTGACTGCGGCGAGAAAAATTTCCTGGCGCAGCACAGGGAGCCGACTTTTCTAGCGGTGGACGAAGCTATTGACTCAATGTATTCGTTCCATCTCAGGTTTGCGGACAATGTGGGACCGAGCAGTCGCTAAGAGGTGCTCTCGTGGAGTTGAGCGTCAGATGGTTCTCTCTGGTGAATAATAGAGAGCAGTTTTATTTTTGAGGCATTAAAGTTTAACCAGCCAATTCCTGCCTCTGTCCACAACCTATTGGAGGTCCTTTTCTAGACAAACGGCCAGGTTAGTTTTGTCGACGACACTAAATTTGTTTTTGAGGCAGGAGTAAATAGTGTCGTCCGCATAGATGCCTACTTCGGAACCTATGACATCAGGAAGATCGTTAATGCAGATAAGGAACAGAGTTGGGCCTAGGATAGAGTCTTGGAAACACCTGCGTTCGTGGAATAGGAGCTGGAGGAGAATCCATTGAGAACGACCTTTAATGCCGGTTTGACAGGAATTAAGTTGAACAATCGATAGGTAATTCCATAAACCTGAATCGTGCGAAGAAAGCCGGCCTACCAAACACTATCAAATGTTTTGGAGATATCTAGACCCACGGCACCAGCTTCTTCGTTATTATGAAGTGCTTGTTAGACAATTTCAGTTATTGCCGTAAGCACATCAGCTGTAGAACAGGCGAAGCGGAAACCATTTTGCTTGTCGGAGAGCAGATTATGAAATGTAAGGTGCATAACCACTTCGGTGTTGATTACAGCTTCAAAGACTTTGCAGAAGAGTGGTAGGAGACTGATAGGATGGTATTTAGAAGGGTCAGAAGGGTCTCCAGAGTTCTTAAAGACAGTAACAACGGTGGGGACTTCCAACAGGGTGGAAAACAGATTCATTGAGGCAGTAGTTATATAATTTGGAGAGGGCAGGGGCCAGTTTAGGCGCACATTTCTTCAGGACAATGGCTGGTATCGCATCATCACCACTAGTCTTGTGGGGGTCTAATTTAGAGATGATGAGCGATAACGGAGTACAAATCGCTCACTTGAGCCTCAGTTCTAAGGGAGAATTCGGGTGTGGGTACATCAAAAGAGTCGAGCGTTGAATTGATGAGAATTTCCGAGCAAAACATTCAGCCTTGTCGGGAGAAGAGGTCAGCACCTCAAACTGGTTGAACAAAGGAGGTATAGACGGGTTGCTATTGTTAAGTACGCTCTTGCAGAGATGCCAATAATCCTTGGAGCCGAATTTGCGAGATGCAATAGGTTCTTTCATTCGAGTTGCAAATAGTAACTCTGCTTCACTGAGGACATGCTTACACTCGATACAGGCTGAGACAAAGAGACGTCTATTGCAGACATGTCGCTACGATATAGGTATGAATAAGTGATTACTATAGGCAATGGCAACTGAGCAAGCAGCGGAGAACCAGGGGGAGGAGCACGATTTGACGTTATATTTCCTTGAAGGGATGAAAGCCTCGATTCCAGCTTTAAAACAGGAGGAGACCTCGGAAGCACATTCTTGAACAGGGGACGTCGCGAATGAAATCCCGGAACGAGACCAAGTCGGCTCGTTGATAGCAGAACAATGTTCTAGTGGTAGGATATCAATTTTTTTTTCCTTTCCCCTCTTTACTTCTGTCAATTATTCTACTTACAGCTTTACTCAACGGTCTGTTGGTAAGAGGGGTGTTCCATTCGGACATTCATCCCAAGAAAGGGCACTTTGTGGAACACACTCACGAGAAGATGCTTTTCAAGTCTAGGGTCAATCCTTATCTATATAACATTGATATCCATACCTTCTTAGCATTTACTTCATCTAACATTCATACCACGAATCTCATTCAGTAAACTTCTAACTTGGATGACTCTTGCGCCTTGTGAGACTGTTTATATCTATCTATCTATCTATCTATCTATGTCTATCTATCTGTTTACTATATATATATATATATATATATATATATATATATATATATATATAACGTCATCCACAGACAGACTGTTTCGCTGTTTCACAGCTCATCAGTGTGGCTAGACATCCGGTTGCCTCTAGCTAGGATCGAAACCCGACTAAATTGGTGTCAGTCGGAGATTCTAACCATTAAGCCGTCGGAAAGTGGATTTTTAGCGTATTTATTTTTAGAAACACGCCAAGTGACCGACAGTGACTCAATTCGCATCTGCGAAGAGTCTCGCTATATAGCTATAATAGTCACTGTTTACAAACCCACACCTCGTCCCCAGAGACCTCAACCGAAATTGATATTTAGCTTGTTCATATCTATCTATATATCTAAGTATGTTCATGTCTAAAGGGTGAGATGGATAAATTGTCGTCTAAATTACTTAAAAATGGAAATAACACTGATATCTAATTTTAACAGACATATATACCGAAATTACATAAATAATATCTTGAAATACTAAAGAGTAAATTTACTCGATAAAATCGCCATTGCCTCCAACTACGTTCCGCAGATGACTTCGGAGTCTCCTACATCTCTTCTGAACAGTCTTTTTTTTTAAGATGGTGAATGCTGTCATAATCCTTGCCTTCAGTTCATTTTTGGTGTTACAAGGAGTCTTTTTTTGATGTCTCACTCAACTGCTCCCCAACACATAATAATCAAGGGTGTTGCATTTTGGGACGTCTGGTGGTCTGATGCAAACGTTGATGTGGTCTCAGAAATTGTCCAACAGCCATGACTGGATTGTTCTGCTTGTGTGGCTTGGCGCAGAGTTCTGTTGCCAGATAATAGTGTCTTTCATCAGCCACCCTCTTGATCCAGGGCAGCACTATCTTCTCAAGGCACTTGATGTAATCCCCCGTGTAGAGTCTAAATCCCTGTCGGAAAATGAATGTAAGCATAACGCCGCCATCACTCGTGATCACTCCAAACACCATGATGTTTACTGGATATTTGGTTTTTATCATCCTCATTACATCTTTTAGGGACACAGGTAGCTAGTGGTTGTTCTGTGTGTTCATCTTATTCCGGCAAAAATTTCTTCTCGTATGAGAAAAGATCAATGCCTGTTTGGTTGTAGGAGATGCTTGTGTTCAAAATCTTCGCAGCGCGGACTATCGTCTTTTCCTTCATAGCTTGAGATAAAAATGATCCCTTTCTCATCTTGTATGAAAAATACCGAATGTCTTCATGCACTACCTGCTTTATAAGAGACTCAGACACTCCTGTTTTCCTGGCTATGGACCTGACTAACAGGGAGCGATCGATGTCAATCATAGCCTGGATTTCGCCAACAAATTTGGGTGTTCTTTTCTTATCAGAACGATCAGATTGAGGTTTCTGAGCTGCCGTACCTTCGTAATCACCATTAGACTCATCCAACTCTGCACTGTCCTCAGATTAACAACCAAACTTCAATTTTCATATTGGAGCTTCCAGCACGAATGCCAATCAGTACAACATGCCGTTTCCAAATTTCTTGCACAATGAATTGCATCATGGTGCTCTTTTTCATGCAGATGATGCCAAACTGACCTTATGATACTGTGCAGTCGACAAACTATAAAAAAAAACAAACGCACATGCGCGAAATTAAAAATATAAAACGGCTACAATTTAACCCTCGCATCATTTATCGATTTATCTAAGTCTGTTCATATATTAAATACTAGTTTCAGATCCTTATTTTTTGGTGGCAGTGTATTTGGCTCAGACCTTCTGAGGCTGACCTTTAAGTTCAGGTGTTAGACAAAACAAAGGAAGTTTTTTTGATTGGTTAAAACTAGCATGGAAAGGTTAGAGTTAGAAAGTGTTTTCGATGGGTTAAATCTTACGCATCGAAGAAGGCAGACGTGGTAATTTCGTGTTGTCACGGGGAACTTGCTCTCCGGTGGGCTGATAGCGCGGCCCCGCTGTCTAGTTGAAAAATATACCCATCGATGTGTTAATAAAATAGATATGCTTAAAATCCCTTTTGTTGAAGTTCTCATTTTACCTTCGAACGAACCAACTAGGGATCACCCGGCTGAGCGAAGAAAGAAAAGAGAGAGGAAGACAACTTTATTGTGATCACCTCAAGCCCCTCACCCTAGGACTACCTCAGGGCGAGGTGGGTATACAATATCTATCTATCTATCTATCTATCTATCTATCTATCTATCTATCTATCTATCCGCTGGGTTGGATTATCCTCATTCTTTTTGTATTCCATTGGTAAGGAGGAAGTTATACGCATACAGCTTCTTCCCAATTACTGTTACTCTGTGGAAGAGACATCGGGAAGGGTAATCTCTTCTTTTTTAGGGTCAGCCGTTATCTATCATACATATGATCATAATATACGCTTCTTCCTTCCTCCTTTCTGCATCTATCCAGGGCTTACGGCCACACAACGTTTAAACATCAGTTTTCGTCCCATCAACTAAGTTAAGCAATGTCGAACCATGTCAGTATCTAGATGGGTGCTCGCTCGGAATACCAGGTGCTGTAACCTTGGATGTGCTGGTGGTGCAATGGATAACGCCTCAGCAGCAGAAAGCCGAGTTCGAATTGCAGTCAGGTCCTTCACATTGACTTACGTGCAAATACCTTTGTTAAAAGTATAGATCCACCTTTTCTCATCCTAGCTATGAGCTAAACAGTGAGCTTTCTACCCGAAAATCATTATTATATGCTCAAGTATTTCTTACAACCCCAAAATTTCAGCTTTAACCTTAAAAACCGACAAGAACAAATCAATAATTAAAATAATTCTTATTCAGTAAACCCTTGAGCCTTGTACTGCTTGAACGAAACAAAGTAAACTTATTTTATAGTAGTTATTGTTCAGCATCTGATATCCACTCTACGCTCTTAAATACTTCTTTTTACATTTGTTTTTAATAATACTCAACCAATACAAGGTCCAAGAGCCAATCAAGGTAGACGGTTACTGTGCGCAGTTATATTAATGTAGGAAAGAACCAGCGTTTGGTGTATAGTGCTGAAGACGGTTCAAATGCTGTCCTTATCACCATTTTTAGCAACTTCAAACATTAAACCATGTCCTTGCCAGTACATCTGAAGTAACCGGCATTTTTATTTGCAAAAGAAATATGGCTGATTAATAGAAATGAAAACATCAAACAGTTAAATATTTGCCAAAGTTTCTAATGCAATATACAAAAAAAAAAAAAATCATACAAGTCCCGGCATTTTCTACTGTAGTCGTCATTAAACCGTGGGCAGGTCAAGTCGATTCGCTACTCAGGAATCTCTTTATTATGTTGCGAGAGGAAATTAAAGAAGAAGTGAATTTATGTTATCGAAGAACAGGCCTTAAACGACGTCCTCTGATCGTGAATTCTCTTTGACTCAGCCGCCTTTCCAATTTTTCGACAAAATATCTCTCGTTTTTTTTCTTTTTTCTTTTTTTAGTTCATTCCGCATCGTTTAGTTATTGACCCTTTTCTTTCAGTTTTCGCCCCTGCCCCGTTGCATTTGTTCGTCTTCCTCTGTTTTCGATGCGAATTTCTTCCTCACCGACATTTTCAACTTCATCCCTTAATTCACGTCTTTTCTCTACCTTTTCATCGTTTCTTTTCTTGCATGGATCGATACCCGTTTGCTGTATTGATTATTCCAAAGCCTTTCATCATTTTTTTTTTTTTTTTTGTTAAATTTTCTTTCTTATTTGTTTTGTTATATTGCATATTTTGGCTTTTTTTTTTATTATATTTTTTCCCTAATTTTCTCTTTACAAATACGAAGGCATTTCTGCATGGTCATTTTCTGAACGGTTTAAGACTAAGCGAAGTCATTAATAATAGGACGCTCGTGAGGACTGAACGCAATACACTTGTGAATTAGTCCGTGAGACGAGTATGCTAAACATCGCTCTCAATATGCGCACTTATTTAGCTAAGACTGACAGAAGGCGACACACTGTCTCTGGAGTTATATCCATATCTTTTCAAAAGTCAACGAACGTAACACCATCAAGTATTTCATGAAGGTCCTTTTCAGAATTAGGCGAATTAGCATGTTCAGTGGTAGTATTTAAATATACTAAATAAATATCTCTGGGATTTTGTAAAAACCTTTATTTTTGTTTCAGTCTTTTTTTCAAGAATTGTATTTTTTTATCTTCCTTTTTCTTTCTTATTTAGTTTCGTTTCCTTCTTTCATTTATTTTTCTTTAATTCCTCCCCCCTTTCTTTCTTTCATTGCATCTTTTCTTCTCCGTTCATCATACTTTAATTAATTCATTCTATAATTAATTATTTAATTCATTCATTTTATTATTTCATTTCTTCCTTTTTCATTTTATGATTATTATTATTATTATTATTATTATTATTATTATTATTTATTATTATTATTATTTATTATTATTATTATTTATTATTTATTATTTATTATTATCATTATTATTTATTATTATTATTATTTATTATTATTATTATTATTTATTATTTATTATTATTTCATTATTTATTATTTATTATTATTATTTATTATTATTATTATTATTATTATTATTTATTATTATTATTATTATTTATTATTATTATTATTATTATTTATTATTATTATTTATTATTATTATTATTATTTATTATTATTATTATTATTTATTATTATTATTATTATTATTATTATTTATTATTTATTATTATTATTTATTATTTATTATTATCATTATTATTTATTATTATTATTATTATTTATTATTATTATTATTTATTATTATTATTATTTATTATTATTATTATTTATTATTTTATTTATTATTTCATTTTATTATTATTATTATTTTATTTATTTCATTTCTTCATTTCTCATTTTATTATTAATATTATTTTATTTATTATTTTCTTTCTTTTTCTTTCTTTCTTTCTTTCTTTCTTTCTAGCTATCTATTTACATTATTTGGACTGTTACCTTCATCTTTATTGCCATATTCACAACATTTCGGCCGTTGTACGCTCCGGCCTTCTTCACATGATTGGAATTTCGAACAGAACCCTTTATTTCGTCCACCGTGGTAGATTGTTCTAGTTCCACCTGTCATGCCTCTTCCAGATGTCTCTCAGTTATTTCCATTTAACTCAACTCTCCAAGTTTTGATTCACCATTGCTCTGGCCTGGTATTGAACTCACAACTCTTTAATCCAGTGGGTAAAGACTTTGGTTAGATCCAGTGACTAGACTCAAAGACGTGTGATTTCTTCATTCTTCAATTAATTCTTTCAAAAGTTTTAGATCGTATTATTTCGTTTCTTATTTTTCTTTAATTTTCCTTTCTTTTATTTTTGTTTGTTTGTTTGTTCTTTTAGCTTCTTTCTTTCCTTCGTTCTTTTTTTCTATCTTTCTTTCTTTCTTTCTTTCTTATTCCGTTTTATTTGTATCTTTTATCGTTCGAAAGTTCTGAACTTATAAGATTAATTGTTATCTCCCTTTAATCTTATTCCTCTGCATTCACTAACACCTTGTGTCTTAGTGGCTTTATTTGTGCTGTTATTAAGTCGTTTGAATTTTTCTACTCTCTTTCTTTCGCTTCTTGTTATTTTATTTGCTTTCTTTGTCAATTTTCTTTCTAGTTATTTCTTTTTGTTCTCTTTACCATTTTTCATTCACTGTTTATTTATTTCCGTTCTTTTAATTTCGTGGGATATTTCTCATTCTTTAGTATTATTCCAGCCATTTTTCTTTCTTTACTTCATTCGTTACTTAATTTCATTTATTTCTTGTCATCCATTTGATTTCTTTCACTGCTTTCCTGTTTTTTTTTTAATTAATTCTTCATTTATTTCAATTATTCTAATGTCGTTTGATTTTAGCTTTAATATTTCTTTTTTTTTATTATTCCTTTTCTTTTTTTTCTTTCTTTCATTCATTCATTAATTATTTCTTATTTTCCTTCTTTCTTATTATTTCTCTTTCATTCATTTTTCTTTTTTTTCACCCTCTTTCTTTTTTTTTTCTTTTCTGTGCTTCGTTCTCTCTTAGTTGCCCGAAGGAGGTAAAAGTTAATTAAATGAAACGCAAATGCCAATTCTGATTGAGAGTCATTCGTTTTGTGTCTTTCCATAATAGACAGTAAATCAGGACCTATTTACTTACAGATTCATCCACACATCTATCAAGGACAACATCTTGAAATGACAGAAAAGAAAGAAAATGACACTTGAAAAAACCCCCACCCAATTCACGTAACTTTCTCTATAGACTTATTTGAAATAAATAAAAGAAGGAAACCAAAAAAAGCTTAAATATTTAGTGTAGCTCTTTAAGCCTGCCACCAACAACATGTCTGACATATTAAAAATCTGACTTGCCTTCGATGAGACAAATATTCTAATATTTTATAGAATTTTTCAATTTGCAACAGTAAGTATAATTTCATAGTAATTGTTCTGGTGGACATTCCTCATTATTACGTAGACGTCATGAATTTAAGCGCAGTACAGGATTGGCAACAATGTGTCATCGTTTAACATTTGAATTGCTAATATGTAAACGTAAGTTCTATGCTATCAGTTGCTTTTACCACAGATCTTGATTATAGAAAACTTTCAGCTTCTTGCTTTCCAGCCAGCTCTGATCTTCTAAGATTAATTGTTATCTCCCTTTAATCTTATTTTACTGCATTCACTAACACCTTGTGTCTTAGTGGCTTTATTGCCTTGCTTGGTGTGAAACGATAAAAAAGAAAAATAAACAGAATAAATGTAACTATAATATTGCTGGAAAGCTAAAAGAAATTACAAAATTTGGCCTTTCTCGGTTAAAAATTATTTTTAACGGAATTTTTGAAATCAGACCAACAAGCACATCTTTGACAATGCACACAACTTTGTAGGCGTTGTATCCTGAAATTTCTTTATTGATTTCTGTTGCTGCTTTGTAAACTTGGAATTATGAATCAAACCCCCGTTGAATAAACAGAGAGAAATTATTTCAAATTTAAAGAAGGTAACAACCATAATGTGTTTTTCAGTTGAAATAGCAAAATAGATTATATTTAACAAAACATTATTATTATTATTATTGGTTTGAAATTTCTTTATTTCTTCTTTATTGACTTTCTGTATTTCTCATCGGACCTGCTTACTTAAATATGCTTTATTACTAATAGTATTAATAAGATTATAATTTCTTAGATGATGCATTGTCACTTATTATTCCTTTTCGATTAGTATTTCTTTCATCTTATTTCTTATGCTTTTTATTGAAGGCTTATTCTTTATTTCTCATCTGCCCTGTTTACTTAAATATGCTTTATTACTAGTAGTATTAATAGGATTCAAATTTCTTAGATGAAGTATTGTCAATTATTATTCATTTTTCACTAGTATTTCTTTCATCTTATTTCTCTTGATTTTTACTGTAGGCTTATTCTTTATTTCTCATCTGCCCTGCTTACTTAAATATGCTTTATTACTAGTAGTATTAATAGGATTCAAATTTCTTAAATGAAGCATTGTCAATTATTATTCATTTTGGACTAGTATTTCTTTCATCCTATTTCTCTTGCTTTTTACTGTAGGCTTATTCTTTATTTCTCATCTGCCCTGCTTACTTAAATATGCTTTATTACTAGTAGTATTAATAGGATTCAAATTTCTTAGATGAATCATTGTCAATTATTATTCATTTTGGACTAGTATTTCTTTCATCCTATATCTCTTGCTTTTTTTACTGTAGGCTTATTCTTTATTTCTCATCTGCCCTGCTTACTTAAATATGCTTTATTACTAGTAGTATTAATAGGATTCAAATTTCTTAGATGAATCATTGTCAATTATTATTCATTTTGGACTAGTATTTCTTTCATCCTATATCTCTTGCTTTTTACTGTAGGCTTATTCTTTATTTCTCATCTGCCCTGCTTACTTAAATATGCTTTATTACTAGTAGTATTAATAGGATTCAAATTTCTTAGATGAATCATTGTCAATTATTATTCATTTTGGACTAGTATTTCTTTCATCCTATATCTCTTGCTTTTTACTGGAGGCTTATTCTTTATTTCTCATCTGCCCTGCTTACTTAAATATGCTTTATTACTAGTAGTATTAATAGGATTCAAATTTCTTAGATGAAGCCTTGTCAATTATCATTCATTTTTCACTCGTATTTCTTTCATATTATTTCTCTTTTTAATGTTAGCTTCATCTTCCATTCTCGTCTGCCCTTCTTACAATGTCATGGCTTATTACAATGGTATTAATGAGATATTAATGTTATTCAAATATCATATATGAGGCATTGTCCATTATTATTGATCTTTGTCTCGTATGTCTTTCATCTGATATTTTTATCGCAGCTTTTAGATTAGATTTAATATTATCCGAATTTATTTGCTGAAGTCTTTACACTTTTCTTTTCATTCATTTTTACTTGTGTTTATTCGATTGCAAATAGAAAGTTCGAATATACATTATCATTATTAAGCAAGGTTGATTGGAGATAAATCATTTGCCTCTAGCATGGCAAAAAATTGCATCCTTAAACTAAGGAATTTGTCTTTCCAAAACAGCTTCATTTATACAGTCACGTGAAAAAGTTCAAGACTACCTAAGCAAAAAAAAAAAAAAAAAAAATAAAATAAATAAATAAATAAAAATAAAATAAAATAATTTTTTTTTCATTTCAAGGTTTGTGAGCGCATCATGCATGTTTATGATTGCATCATCCCATATGACATCATCCTAATCAGTTATATTAAAAAGCAGTGTTAAGTGAGTACATAATAAGTGGTAGCACATGTTAGGGTTCTAGCTATGGGCATATAATCAGCAACCAAACTAGCATTCAAACGTGAAAAAATAAAAATAAATGAGAAAAAATAACTAGCAATATATTTTCATCATAACAATTTTAAAAGATACCAGCAATACATTATTGGTAAAAAAAATTACAAACAATGCATGTAAAAAAAATTACCAGAGCACAAAATGAAATAAAATTTTAGTATTAAATGACCCATAAAGAGTTGATATGCTGTTAAATCAAGTAAAACAACATTTCTGTTAAAATCAAGTAAAACCACTATTCTGTTAAAATCAAACAAAACTACTTTTCTGTTAAAATCAATTAAACCCACATTTCTGTTAAAATCAAGTAAAACACCATTTCTGTTAAAATCAAGTAAAATCACATTTATGTTAAATCAAGTAAAACAACATTTCTGTTAAAATCAAGTAAAACAACATTTCTGTTAAAATCAAGTAAAAACACATTTCTGTTAAAATCAAGTAAAACCACATTTTTGTTAAAATCAAGTAAAACCACATTTCTGTTAAATCAAGTAAAACCACATTTCTAAGATATTAGTGTAAATGGTGTCTTCATCTAGCTAATATCTTACCATTATTTGGGAAGTGTTTCTACCAGGTATATGTGGGCGGTATTTCTGTCACTCCCTGTATAAATCGCTTCTCGTTTACCTTTGCTTTATTTGAGAAATTAATTTATTTGAACGATTCTCTTGTTAATTATTTATGTCCTTTCGTCATCCGAAAGGACATAACATCTCTATCTTTGATGTCTACACTTATATAGTGTAACGCGGGGTACGTTGATGCAATTGTTTCCTTACTGGCGCTAAGGAACAACAACACCACTGATTGAGCTGAAACGTGGCAGACACATATTCCAGTATTAAAATTAATTAGTAAGTCTTGTATCACTAAACTCATTATTATCTAGAAAATTCTTATAATCAAAACTATATTCTGGCTTTAAATAACCTGCAAAGGGTTGATAAGCCGTCAAAATCGAATCAAATACAAAACAAGGTTAAAGCGACATTATATTGTGGGAGATGACGTCTTGCTTGAAATGGTTTAACGACGTCCAAGCTCACCATCACTCGTGCATTGTGGGCAGAACTTCACCCTTCACAAAGCATTATCAGTCAACACCTACATCAGCTTGTGAATAGACGCCGTCGAGAAGTTGGAAAGAAAACTCTTATAATCTAAAAATATATACAGTCTTTAAATAACCTGAAAAGAGTTGATGAGACGTAGAAAACGAATCGACCAACAAGACTTTTCCTTGGTATATTTTGAAAAAGCTTATACATGACCATTTATTTCTCGATACCTTAAATCATTCATATACATATTCTAGGGTGTAACAGCAAAATTGTCCAAATCGTTTAGTAGCATAATTGTCCCTCCCACAAAATCTTTAATATCTAAAAGAAAAAGAAAATACTATACTAATTAAGTCTTTTTACCCACGTTTTTAGATTAGACGTTTAGCTAACATGATACCATTTATCGTAACAACCATTGGACAAGCATTTGCGTTATTCAGCTAGAAACAGAACAGATTAAAATCGTTTTGGGTCAGTACCACTGTCTTTCCAACTGAGCAATGGTGAGAAGCAAATGATCATTCAGGCTTTCAGAAATGCTACCAATATTCATGCTCTGGCATCCATTTTCAAAGTCCATTCAAGAACCATCAAAGGAACGGTTAAAAAAAAACAGTAGAGAGGAAAACTTGATCAGGAGGTCACAATAGTAAGAGGGATCATCATTTCAACTTAGAGCTAAATCCACTCTTATTGTTCAACGTAGATTCCATTAGAGTTATAAAAAACCTCGGAGAATTCCAGTAAGTTATCTTTAATCATTTCTAAGATATACTGGTTCAAAACTTAATCTAACAATTAGACAATTTTGCTGTTACATCCGATACACACACACACACACACACACACACACACACACATACATATATATATATATATATATATATGTGTGTGTGTGTGTGTGTGTGTGTGTGTATATTCAGCTGAAAATAAAACAGGTTAAAATCGTTTTGTGCCTGTACCACTCTCTTCCCAACTGACCAATGCTAGCTGCTATCTTCAATATCCTTTCAGGAGCCATCAAGAGAACGGTGAAAAAAAAAAAAACAGGGCACAACAGAGAGGAAAACTAGATCATGAGGTCACAACAGGAAGAGAGATCATCTTTTCAACATAGAGCTAAAGAGATCAATTAGAAAAGATCCAAC